CACGGCGTGGTTCATTTTGTGACTGTTAACCTTCTGACTGTCTGCTTGGGAGAATTGCTGCAATCCCTGCAGATAGATATTTGATCCCATCTTATTGAGAATATTTGTATTGATTCTCAGGTATCAAACCCTTTAGTATTAACTGTCTCTTTCATTGTTTAGCGTGCTACTTTGCGTTAGAGAAACTTCTGACTGTATAGCACAGGCTGTACCGTTTGAGGTATTTTGTATTTTTGATGTAATTTGTTCTGTTCTTAATTAGAACCGTTTATATTGAGCACGGAGTTTGTGTTTTGATATAATATAACACGAGTATCTCAAAGACGCGTTGTGAGCTATACAGAGGAACTTGGTCTGGTCTAATCGAATAAATTTTGGGTTCGTCAGTCCGTTGTTCCAACCGAATATTGGCTGTTCGGTCGTTACAAGGAGAAAGATAGGAGTGAAGGGGATGGTTAGTATCGATAAAATAACACCTGCTAAGAGTTTGCATGACTTTACATGTCTATCCACAACCATATTAATTATGACCTCGGAAGATTCACCATACATCTTTCTAACTGCCTTCAGCACTTTCCGCATTACAGCAAAGTCTTTTCTCAAAAGCCTGGGAAAGAATAATTGAGAAAAGTAAAAAATAATAGGTAAAATGCAAGAATCGACAAATTGTAAGAATAAAATGGCGAGTAACCCCGAAAGCGTGAAGCCTATTTTTGTAGTAAGTCAGTTGAAAACTTTCTTCGGCAACAGTAAAACGTGAGAAGACCAAGAGAGATCAGAGGAAAAGTAACACCAAGATAACTGACCTTCAGCAATGTGTTTATCAAAGAGCCTCCAATGGCACAAGCATTATGAGATTACGAAATGGTATTTAGATGCCGTTCATGTCTCATGCTAAGGTTAAGAGCTCGACATTTAGATGGATTAAGTCTGAGACCATTAACAACAGACCAACAATCAATACGAGACAAAAACTCATTAATTTCTGTGGGATGTAAAGAGGAAAAGAGAGGTATACATATAGTGAGATCATCTGCATATTTCACAAAAGTGTTTTCTGTGGAAGATGACAGGTCATGCAGAAGAAAAAGAAGAGTTGAAAGAACGGCTTCTTATGGTACACTTTCACGAGACAGTAGAGACTCGGAACACTTTCCTCCAAATACAGTGTACTGTATTTGGAGAAGGGTGGGAACATAGCCAGTTTGTTACCCAGCTGTCAATGTTGACTCTGATTAACTTGCTAAGTAAACGTTGTCTTGGTATAGAATCAAAGGCAGAAGTATATTCCAGAAAAGCATATCGAACTTACTTCCTACCCTTTTCCAAGTTCAACAATATATTTTGATGCAGAACAGCAACGGCATCTAAGGTGCTTCTTTTTCATCTGTAAATAAACTGATAAGGGTCAATGTACTCTTTTGTCGCAGGCTGAAGTGGAAGTATTAATAATTTTTCCATTGTTTTGAGGAAGGGTGAAGTTATTGCAATAGGTCTAAATTTCACATTCTTATCACCAAGTACTTTATTGGGTACAGGGATTAGCTTCATCTTGCTCCACATTTTCGGTATGAGATTAGATGAGAAGGATCTGTTAAAGATAGTCGTGAATGGATAACATAGGACGTCCGCACATTTCCTAAAAAGAAGTTTTGGGATACCATCAGGTCCCAAACATCGTGATGAATTAAGCGACTGGAGACATCTTCGTGCATCAGTCTCAGTGAAAGTAGGAACACAGCTATTCTTTAAACCTGTGGATAGAGGGAGCATCACATCAGATTACTGACGTGTAAAATACTTAGTGAAGTCACAAACATTCAGCTGGCTATCGCTCCTAAATTGTCTGTCACCTGTAAGTTCTTTAGAGTTTCTACATACTTGGAGAGTTTTTACACGACAAGAGATTTCGAGTAAACATAGAGTTGAGACGTCTAATCTTTAGGTTTAGCTTACGAACTTCATTTGAGTTTTTCTCCTTGTACATTCTTTCTTTCAACCTCCGTAGTCGTTTAAGTTGTGAAGATTTAAGTCGTACGAAGGGACGAAAAGAGTACCAGAATAGTAATAACCTTAGATACCATTCTACCTATCTCTGGTCATATCCTTTACTTTTGGAGTATGAGTGTCCTATTAAACGAACTGCAATATTTGTTTCACACCAAAAATGTCTGCGGTTCAAATCTACTTTTAAAGGGTATCATAAAGATATTGTAGGCTAATCGAGAAACCAAAATCATTCTAGGAATGCCCTGTGGTTTAATGGATCCAGAAATCCAAGTGATGGGATTTAAGTCGGTTTCAGCAGCTCCATAATCTCGAAAGTTTCATACATCTGAACATAAAATAAGACAAAATCTGTTAGTTGAAACATTTCCGAAGAATGGGTAGAAAACTTTCACTGCATTTGACTAGATACAACAAGGGGAAAAGGTTTGGGCATTTTACACGCTCATCATAAGGGAGTCCAGGAAGACCCTTCACTAATTTCGTTCCCACACGCTGGAAACGCTCAAGGGAGTTAGTATCCTTTACCAGACATGGGCTAGCTGCTTGGATACAGTACTCTAAGTGTGGTCTTACATATATGGGATATAAAATTCGAAACGTTTCCTCGTCAAAAGATTTGAACGCTCGGCGACGTGACTATAACGCACGAAAACCTTTGACAGCGGCTGCTTTGTAATGCGTAGTTGTTTTTAAATCATGACTTATTACCACTTCTAAGTCTTTATGTTCTTGAGCACATGGAAGAGGTTTACCCTCAATAGTATAACGTTAACTATTATTGTGACCGATGTGCATTAGCACACACTTCCTAGCATTGATTTCTAAGCCCCACTCTCCAACCCATCTGAATAAATCGTCTAAATCAGCTTGAAGATCCACATGATCAGCCGCACTTTTTATTGTTCTCCAGATTAACATACGAAAACAATCGTTTCGGACAAGTACGGCTATCATATACTAACTGTCGTTCGTAAGTGATACGGGATTTGGCTATGGTTTTCTTACAGATATTACGGAATTTTCGGTACTCACGCTTAAATGGTGCATGACCTGTCAACAAGAATAAGTCCCAGAAATGTTTCCTACGCTTTAACAGCTTCTGGGTTTCCTTATTAATCCATGGAGGGCAATATGATAGCTTACGTGTTGGCCATGGGATAAACGGCGACGTTACGGACTCAAATGTAGCCATAAACTTATTCCATTCATCTTCGATCAATCCATCCGCGTCGACCGATCAATCGGTCGAGATAGCACAGTTTCTGATTGCCGGAATATTGACTCGCCAGATATTGGGACGGGGTGGAGCAGATACGAATTGTATACCATGTGTCCTAAACTTAGAGTGAATTGCAACGTGATCACTGTTCACTAGTGAGGGAAGGTGCTGAATATCAAAAACATCCTCACGGTGGTGGGTGAGGGCGAGGCCCAGCAGTGACGGATCATGATTGAAATCAATATGTGTCGGTTTTGTGATACATTGTACAAATGCACACTGAATAACGGTAGATAAAAGGTCGCTATCGAAACTACTAGCTGGAACTGTACGCTCTATCCAGCTAATATGAAGTGCGTTGAAGTCCCCAATGATGAGACAACATTCTGCCATACTCCAAGAACAGATGTGTCTTAGGGTAAAGTCGTCAGCAAGATAAAACGGACTACGGTATATTCCCCCTATAGTCACTAACCCATTTCTAGATTTAATCTTACAACATGCAACCTCACATGTGCCACTGATATGAGCCTCTGATATGGTTGATTGTATACGAAAGTGATCCCTAACGTATAATATTAAACCTCCCTCTTTGAGACTTGAAACTCTATCACTTCTAATAAAGATATAGCCTGCAATGATGGGAGAACAGTCCATATCTACTGTGAACCAAGTTTCTGTAACAACGATTATATCAGGACATAATACTTCCACCATCAGACTTAGCCCTAACGTTTTATTTCTAAGACTACGAGGGTTCGTGTTTTGGCAATCCATCGTTCTACCGATACAGGCCACGGGAGCATTGACTTCCAAGACCTGACTACCCGAAAACCTTTAATGGTAAGGTTATTTTCGCCATTTAACTTGCGAGGTCTTAATTCAGTAAGAGCATTCTTCCACTTGATTCGATCCTCAAGCCGCCAATCTGGTCGAATACGGATATTTGAGTCACGAGTTTTTTTTGGTGCGTTTTTCAATAGTATGTCTCTTTTTTCGAAACTCCCGAGAACCAGCTTCAGGATTCTTCTTGGTTGGGTCTCGCCTCCAACCCATTTACCAAGCAATACCGTCAATAAAACAAGTCTCTTCATATGGGTGAATAACCTAAAAATAGCACTTTTAAATGACATGGAAATTTTAGCTTGTACCTTGTATTTCTCAGTTCGCTGAATATGCGGTGAATTTGTCTTCGTTTAGTTGTATTGCGAGCCACGAAATCAGTTCGAGGACTCAAATCTAAGCCTTACGAAGAACGCCTCCGTTCACTAGACCTTTACCCACTAGAATATAGGCGTCTTAGAGGTGATTTATTAATGGCTTATAGTATTCTTAACACTTCTGGACATCCTCTTAAACACCTACATAAGCTTAGTCCGAACAATAACCTAAGGGGTAACACCCAGAAACTGGAAACACAACATAGCAAGACGGAATGTAGACACAACTTCTACTCCTTAAGAGTTGTCAAAAGCTGGAACTCGCTGCCAGCCGAGCTAGTCCAAGCGACTTCTCAGGAGTCCTTCAAGAGGCAACTTGACCTATTCTTAAGGACCAAGGACAGCATCGCACTATGATTTACCAATTTCTTTTCCTCTTTTATTGTTACCATACCTAGGTTCCTGCCTGGAGGATTTGGTGATCCCCTGCTACTAGACACGGAAGCCTGTTAAGCGAAAGCTTCTTCTATTCCGTCCACAACCATTTGAATCATTTGAATCATCGTGTAACCTTGAGGCGGTTTTGCATGACGCGATTTTCCAAATAGCTTTATTTGTTAATGATGTCAAATGAGGTAAATTCACTCTGTTTTTACAGATCAATTACTTTAAATTTCAACTTTTTGAAAACAGAACATTGCACTGCTCTCTAATATTTGTACCTTCAAGCTGTTTTTAGTGAATACAGAATTACATGAACCTTTTTTGAACATATACGCCGTATTTATCATATTAATTCGTATATGTACTGATGCAAAATCCATCATTTAGCTTAGAGTATAATGTTTGATGCTCAAGTACGAGTACGCATTTTCAATGCTTTATGGTTTCAGGTAGATCGATATCAATATTTTTGTAATCATCGTTCTCTGAATTGTGAAAGAGTTTATTGAGCCGATAGTAAATTCCTGATTTATAGTTTCATTATTATTTCGCTCAGCCTACATTGACCACATTTATAGTAGTCAACAATCTCAAAACTTCATGATATTGATCCCAACATTAAGAACGTTTTTATTCTGTAATACGCACAATTTTAAATTCAGATGTTACTTTGACTCAAACCTGGCTTGTTATAAGATTAATTATGTGGATATACAGTTGAAGAACCCAAAGAGAATTTAAAAAATTGAATATTTTTCTTACATATATTTGTTTTATAATATAATCGAAATTTTCAGTGGTTAGCATATTGAATTTTTTCTGGTTTTTTTTGTTAAGGGAAGCCATTTTGGTTTTTTTAGTGACCTAACCGGAAATCATTATTTAGATGGGTTCTCATACCTATACTTTTGTGCATATATATTTGTTAACCGGTTTTAAGTCTAATTAATGGTATAACAGTTTTGGCTTTTATTTTTCCGGGGCTGGCCAATTTATTGCTCAACATATAGATAGGAAATTATTGAAAATTATAGACCTGCATGGAAATGCGTGTTTACCCATCGAAATTTATCACATGATTGTTCACGAGTTCTTTAGTTAAAATGTTCCCTTTAATTAGGAATTAACGTCAAGATATTATGCTAGAATATTACTTTCCAGTGCGCTTGTATTGATATCTAGTATAATCTTGCAAACAAAATTCTTTCTTTGTTACACATTAACCATTTACTATCCAAGCAGTCATAAAACAAAACCAGAGAAAGTCAGTTTGATTCTTAATACTACCTAAAAAGTATTACTCGTTATACTACTTCCATGATGTAATGTATTGTTCACAAATATCACTTTCACGTGGTTTGTTTTATATTGAGGTTGATTGAAAGATTTATGCTTGTGCGTAATTGAAAAAGTGACTGTATAAAATTCATGGGCTTTATTTATAATTATATACCTCTACAGAAAGAACTTCCCTAATAGTTATTAATTTGAGTTTGTAAATGTTTAACACCTATGAAGCAATGCTACATCTATCCTATTAGGAGCTTGTGTAGTGTTCAAAATAAATATAGACTCTAAAATGTTGCAGTGTTTTGTCTGTACCCGAGTATATGGTCCAACTTATTTAAACAATTTGTGAGGACGAGGTTCTTGTTGGTTTTTGTAAATATTTTCAGGAATACTTTTAGAATTTTTACTAATTCTGCTCTAAAAAGCGGTTTGATGTGGTTTTGGAATGTCGGTTGCAACTAAAACTTACGACCGTATGTAGTTGCTTTAGTGGAAAATTATAAATTAGTCTACTACTGGTAGATCTGTTCGAATGATATTTAATATATCTTTTAAATTAAACCTATCTGCCTTAATTATCGGGATAAATACAGGATATATCGTAACGGTAATCAACTGGTAGAGGGATTATATAACATGGAGAAAATCTGATGAAATGTTCTGTTTTCTCAGTCTCCACTAAGGCTCGATCACTTATATCACTGAGAACAAAAGCTTTACCGTTTCCCTATATAGATCCAGTGATGCAACAAACCAGATTACAATCAACATTATGGCTGTTTACAATAAATTAGGACACATACTTTAAAGCACAGATTATGGGTTCGGATTTTACGTGAGTCAATTGACACTGTTTAAAAGATTGTTAATTTTTAGTGACATGTTATAGTTCGTATGACTTACTTTTATTGAAAATCCGTTATAACGTAAGTGACATTAGTTTGTACGATGCTGCAAGTTTCTTGTCCATTATGTATAATCGATTGCAGTCAAATACCATTCGTTTGTTACTATATTGCAAAATTTTACTTTCATGTGTGCGTAACTTGTTACTTATAACATTTGTTTCTTATAATCTTAATGTGCTTTAATGAGATATGGATGAAATTCTCTCTATTATATAGAAATATATAAACGTTTATTTAATATTGCATGACATTTTTAGCACTTATAAACATATGTACTCATTTTTGTATGTTACTGCTGTTTCAAGCTATTTGTGTATCGTATTTTCGGTTTAATTCATAATTCATGCTAATAGTGTGCATAGAATGTAATCATGTCGTGAAGTATTTTGTTTCTCTGTTTTGATAGGGTTTACTGTTGTATTAAAATGATAGGAAAGATGTTAAGCATTATTTTCTACGAGTTAATTATTTAACGTGTAAACGCTTCGAAAGTCTGGAAATAGTATGAAAGTTCCTAAAATTTGAGTTGTAAATCTATATTATTTTCTCATAAACCGCAAAATATCCAGTGTTACTAAAGCTTTACATTTCCATCTGAAATTTGTGTATAAGTGGTCAAACCTTAAATTTAATCACATTTCAATAGTACTTAATAAGAGCTATCGGTAAAATTAACGAAAGTGCTTGTTATATAGTTCCAACTAAGATCCGGAGATAAATGTATGCCTTGAAACACCAAGGTATTATGTCTTGTGTCTTATGAACTTAAATCACAGCATCTCAGACAAAAATAGTTGGCTTTTTTCCATCTGTCAAAACAAAACTGAGTATAAAAATAATTTTTGTTACGAAACGTTTAATACAGTGACTTTAAGTTCTTATATTGACTAGAAAATCAATGACTACTTTGTTGGAAATCAGTCTAGTTTCATACAGTTCACTGGACTTGTTCACATATAATAAAAGCTTATTGTGTATTTTGCAAGTGTCTAATGATACATTTAAATGTGTTTTTTTATTTTTATACGAAATCCATTTCTGTGTATTGAAAAACCTCAAAGGTTTATACCTGCCAAAGATCATGTTGTAGTACTAAAAAACTGCGGACTAAGATTTTATAACATGGGTTGATTTATGTTATAGTATCACTATCATTTAATGACACTATTCAATAACTATGGAGCTGAAACTTGAAGAACTACTACAACCGTCATCAAGAAAGTAAAATTATTTATAAACAATTGTCTATGTAAGATACTCATTATCGGTTGGCCATACACACGGTCAACAACAGCATTCTGTGGGGGAGAACAAACCAGCTTCCAGCTGAGGAAGAAAATTAAGAAAAGATGATGGAAATGTATATAACATACATTACGGAAATCACCAGGCTGCATCGCTAGGCAAGCTCTAACTTGGAATCTTGAAGGAACCGGAAAAGTGGAAGGCCAATATACAAGTTACATTGAAAAATGGAATCAGATATGAAAAGAATGAATACCAACTGGAAAGAACTGAAAAAGATTGCCCAGGACAGGGTTTGATGGAGACTGCTGGTGAGCGGCCTATGCTCCTCCATGAGGAGTAACAGACACAGGTAAAGTAGAAAGCATTCAATAACTATGTTTGCTAACAGTTTAAGTAAATTCATACATCATATCTTCTCCCTAGACTAATCAAGATATGATGATTAGGAGTATTTGAATTGTAGTATGAACTAAGAATCCCAAAAACAACGCGATTGAATCATGAAGTACTGGATAGACACGAACGAATGTACTGTATTTAGAATTCGAAATCAAGCATTAAACAAGTAGAAAGGTATCATTAGTTCATTCAAACACAATAGAAGATCATTATGAACTAGCAAATTGGAAACATATATTCAGTTATATTTCAAGATTTTTAGAATAATCATTGATTTATAAAAGTTTTAAGAAATATTTTAAATCTAATAATGGTTACTCATCTTATCAGTAGGTCATAGCAAAATCTGTATAATATCAGCTGTCATTGATGATATGCTTTAACTATTTCTCTTGATTGAAATATACGTTTATGTATATGAATGAATTGTTATATTTGCTTATTAAAAGTTGTGGTGATCTTTCAAAGATTATCTCATTAAATTTGTTGATAGATACATATAGAAATAACTAAGCAGCAAAACTTTGCTTTAATAATGTTCTATACTTTATAATATGAATAATTAGGGTCATGTGTATAGATATATCAATCTCATTAGTCCCTATAAGAAAGTATATAGATTAAACTTTCGGCTTTTTAGTACACATTTCTGGATTACATTTTAACTTAGTTACTGTTTTCATTTGAAAAGCTCTGCACTAAATAGTTTTATGGTTGATTTATTTCAAAGCAGCCATGTTACAATTTCCTTTTTCTTATTTATCTAGATTGAAATCAAACTGATAGTTGGAAGACTAATGGATTTTAATGCTTAAACACTGAGTTTTAGAGAATACCATTAAAGTTAGATTGCATGACCGAAACAATTAGTTTTTCTAATCAAAAACTTTAGTAAACACCATATTTTAGATCATATAAAACATTTAGTAGATCTTATAAAGCAAAAAATATTCTGAGCAGAGATGGATAGTGGCTAGCAGTGTAATCCAGGACGCGCTCCACTTCGTCCTATTTGAGACTCGTCAGCTGGATGTACCTGCATCTCACGGTTGATCTTCACTCTGGGACTCAAACCCAGTACTGTTCGCTTCAAACGCCATTGTGTTCTCCACTTAGCTACTGATTCCTGATAGCCACCTGCTTTTGCAATGGGGTGAAGTTATATTCACTTGGTGTTGGTACTGAATTCGAGTTCCGGAGTGGACATCAACTGTGAGATGCAGGTACATCCAGCTGACGACTCCCAAATTGGACGAAGTGGCGCGCGTCCTGGATTCCAATGTTAGCCACTATCAATCTTTGCTTATAAAGCTTGTGACTTCAGGCAATATCTAGGCAGTCAGCACAGAATGCACATATGCGAACAACAGACTGATCAATTGGAGTCCTAAGTAACAATCTGAAGATACAAGTAAACAACACCAAGTGAACAAAAAAATATTCTCCTATAAGACTATTATCAATATATAATTTCTATGCTTTTATCACACTTCAATATCGGAAACTGTGTATTAAGTGTAAGTGAGTGAGACTATAATTTATGGACGACCTTTGAGTAACGCTAGATTAACCTAGAGAGTGTCCACTTAATAACCAGGAACCAA